AAAGCAGATGATGACAATAATATCAATAATGATAAGGATAATAATAATAATAATAATAATAATAAAAATAATAATAATAATAACGATAATAATAATAGTAATGATAATAATAACAATAGTAGTAGTTGTTATAATAATAGTAACAGCAGCAGCAGTACCAGTAGTAGCAGTAGTAGTAGTAGTAGTAGTAGTAGTAGTAGTAGTAGTAGTGGAGGTAATGAGTAGTAGGAGTAAAGTGTAATAATAATAATAATAATAATAATAATAATAATAATAATAATAATAATAATAATAATAATAATAACAATAACAACAACAATGATATTAATAATAATGATAATAATAATAAGAATAAGAATAAGAATAAGAATCACCACCATCATCATCTTCATTAATGTAAAATTATAATTATCATAAAGCCATCATGATTATCGTAAAAATAACAAAAGTTAATTAGATATAGATAAAACAATAAAGACCGCCTCCAGAAATTAACTATTGTAGTTAAGTAACTCAGATGTACAATTTAAATTTTAATCCAAAATACCAAATTTTCTACTGATATTTATCTTACTGAACGGACTTAAAATATTGCAGAAAATATAGACCTAATGTGTATAATAAAGTGACGCAACAAACTTTGAAATGTATATACACACATTGATAGTACATAACTACATTTTTATAACACATTTGTTCAGTGCGCACTATCAACAAATATAGTACAGATATAGTGCAGCATACTATACCTTCCGATGGATTTTCAAGACATCATGAGATATCTTGCAACATCATAAACCACAAACTGGAGCCACAAAAATCCATCAAATATTCCTTATGTTACAAATAATAATAATATCCTGAATGACGGTATACCAAAGCATTTTTTAACATCTTGTCCCACGATGACACTTACGGGGTACAGTACCTTCTGACCTGTAAGTTGCAAAACGTGAAGAGTTGGGTTAGTTTTGGTCAAGTTTTTCCTCAAACGCAGACTTTATTTTCGATGTGCATTGTGTGTGACCATGACATTCATCCGAAAAGTTGTACATACATGTTTTCTGAACTGTCAGTGCAAGTGATTACAGTATTTACAGCTGATGATGATAAGCCAAATCATGAGAGAAGTTAAAATAAACAATTCTTCTTCTTGCCAGAAAAAAATATGGCAGCTATTTTTTTTAGAGCTTTCTCAACCCTTTTCTTGAACCTAGTCTTTTCTTTTTTTACTTATTTTTTTTTCTTTTCTTTTTCAAAATCAAGATTTGATAATTGGACTTCAACAGGCCTAAACAGTACAAATACACTTATATACTGAGTGTAAAAATCAATGGTCTCTAAAACAGCTCTCATGTCTCCTCTGATTCAAATGTCAGTGTAATTCGTGTTCTGAACAGGCCATTTCGGTCTAAAAACATATTTTTCAGTGTGCTCCTGATCACTGTTGATAGAATCAGACTTTATATATAAAAAAAAAAAAAATCTGAAGTTTCAATTGATTTGATGTTCATCGTGATTATCAATAATATTACGACAATTATATAATAATGATAATAATCGTGATTATGATCATATCAATATATCATATATATAAGGTGCATTTCTAGAATAGGACTTCATCTTAAAATCCATCGATTATGACATCGACGGATTCCTATGATGTCTAGTGCGCATTCATAGAGGTTTTAGGGAACTAGTGATGTAAGACCCGCTAAGTATGGAGGGCATGATGAAACAGCCAGGTAAAATCGCCTGAAATGCGCCATGTCCACATTTGCGGCAAGATAGAGCCAGGCCATGGGGTGGTCGCACCTCGACGTTGCGTGTTCTGGAATACGCAAATTATGGCAAATTATGCCATATTGCGCTTGGTTTTTGGTTCTGCACGCTATTGTTGCCAAAGTTGGACAGTTGACATCGATAGCAAATTCGAATCTTTTCTAGTAATATAATATATACATATCATAATATCGTTATAACATATGATACATTCGTATTTTTCAAACAAATTCAAACACACGCACGCACACACACACACACACACACCAGATTTATGCAAACGGATCTGAGAAAAAAATATCATTGCTATTTTTTACTATTACGCCAAAATACGAGAGTTGTCCCTATAGACACGTTGAGGCCATTCCTTCATGGCAGCAGAGAGGAAAAGAGATATGAATGTGTTCATATATTCCAATATGAGAAGTAGACAATCAGAACAAGTTAACACGAAGTGCTGTTCTCTGCTATGTTCTATGAATCAGACCAGGACAACGCCCTGACCTCGCTTTTAGATTGAATCATCTTTTAATTAGAAAACCTGAATGTCGGCCATTCGAACTGTATGCGCTTCCCATTCCACCACAAGTAGCATCCTGCTGAAAAGGGCAAGTTCTACATTGACCTGCGAAGTATCTCTGCAGACGACAATGTTCGTTTGGTTGCAACTTCAACGCCAGATTGGGTCACGATTCAGATCCCGGGGAAGGTCTTGGGACATGTGATGTTTGAAATTCAGATGATATTGCTGACCGTTGTGCATGTTTTCCCCTGAGCAAAATTTCATCATCATAAACACCAACTACCAATAATTTAGTTTGCTAGGAAGTTCCTGTGAGGTGATGTCTTGTATACGAGATTGACCAGTCCAGAGTGCTAGTCCAAGAATTACCTCATTCGCTTCAAACTCAACTTTCATTACAAGCTAAGACTTAAGAAAGTAGGGGCTTCGATGAAAACGTTAGTTTCCAGTCTGCTGGAGTGAAAGCAGATTTGCAGGCGAGCCTACAATCGAAGCTTGAAGATACGAACTGCCTAACCAACCTGTTCATTAGGAACACCTGAAACTGCAACTTTGCAGAGCCCTACAAGAAGTCCTTAGGTTCTCTACAAATAAGAACAAATTCTGATTCGTTAAGAATAACCAGGCTATTCAGGAACTGCTGGCAGAAAAAAAGGATCTGCGTAACCAGGCCCATTCAGCAAAGCCAAGTCGGATATAACAAAGACCTCTCAGAACCTTTTCCAAATGCCAGTGGCGTGAAGGAGTGTCGTGTTCTGGCACCAACGTTTAACATCTTCAGCATAATGCTCTGACAGGCTATAAAATATCTTAACAAGACGGCACCTACATCCAATACCACACAAATAGAAGCCTGTTCAACTTGAGACAACTTCAAGCTACAAAAGAATACGGAACAAGTGGCACCAGAAGAAAACCAGCAAAATCAGCTTGTCCATGACAGCTGCCCTGACCGCTGAGTCTTACTTTGTGTTCACTAAAGCGCTACAAAGAATACGTGGCGCTACAATGATAGCAGAAGGCCTATGTTTCATGGCAGAATTATTACCTCAAATAATATGGTGGCTGATGCCGCTGCAAATGAAGATTGCAATTACATCACAAAATTACTGTTAGTTCTTAATTTTTCTACGAGGGTTTGTAGCACCACAAACACTATGTAGTTGAGTTAAAAAGTTATTCGCTTGAAAAAAAGTAACGTTACGTAGTTTTTGTAGCGCTTTTGTGGACGGAAGGCTGTTTGCATACCATCAGCAGATATGACATCTTGAAGGCTCTCACCACGCTGCCACCTCTCTCTCTCTCTCTCTCTCTCTCTCTCTCTCTCTCTCTCTCTCTCTCTCTCTCTCTCTCTCTCTCTCTCCTTCTCTCTCTCTCTCTCTCTCTCTCTCTCTCTCTCTCTCTCTCTCTCTCTCTCTCTCTCTCTCTCTCTCTCTCTCTCTCACACACACACACACACACACACACATCATTTTACATGTATGGATGTGAGGTTCACCACATACATTTGAATGACTGTCTATAGGCATTCTCATTTAAATACAGATTCTGATTCTATGGTGACATCAAATAAAAGAATCCCCTGGAGACACACTGCTTTAAACCATGTGTTCATGGCTGACATAAACATCATGGGACTGATGTACGGAAACAGTGATCTTCATTTGTAATGACAAGAATGACTGAAACACAATTATTTATTTTAATCACTTTCTTATGCATAATGGGCATTATCATGTTACCATGCTTTGCCTACAGTATCTTAAAGGCTAAAAAAGCCACCAATTCTGAAAGGAATTTGTAAAAAAAAAAAAAAATATGTAAGAAAATGGATGACCTGTGAGGCTCTTCCAATATGAACTTTGAACACAATAATTAACGTGTGAAACACCACCCACATGTTACACACATCATGGTTCAAACCTGGGCTAGAGAGCTCTTTAGATTCCCGGACAAAGTAAAGAGGAAGAAATGATGCTGAAGAACAGAGATTTCACATAAACAAAGAGACAATTTGTGTAGTAACAGTATAAATAATGGACATTACCTGAACACAGCCCAGACGTGAAGCGACCAATGAATAGCATTTCCACGGATCCTGCGCCCTTGCACAGGGCCAAAACCAGAGCTGTTGCCATGAGCAACAAGTGATTGAACAGCAGAGCCATGCGCCTGAGGGAAATGGGAACCAAGATATAAATCTACACTCCAATGACTTACAGGGTTTTACAGTGAATAACTATACTTATTTACGGCAAAGAAGACCTTTTATCAAAACGTGTCATATTTGAGGGCGCTGATTCTCATGTATTACCTTCCAATTCTGTCTGCAACAGTTGCCCCTGCCGGTGCGCCTATGATGGCTCCAACCACATAGAGGGTCACAATCACCGCCCACAGAGACACTTCTTCGCTTGCACTGAGGGTGACGCCATAACGCTGGAGAACTGTCACCCGCAACCAACTGCGAATTATCTGCAATCGGAAAAAAATATCTGTTACTCTGGTTTCTGACTTCCACGTAAAGATGCTGTTTTAAAATACTGAAATTGACTGAAAACTAAAAACTTTGATGTTACGCAATATAATGAAATACAAGAAATTCCCTAAATATACCGGTTTTGATATCATATGTGTTTAGAATTCTCGGAAAAACAGATCAACTACCTGTTCTCTTCTTACTGAAAATAAACCA